AAGGTGGGAGAATCACTTGAGCCTGGGAGGTTGGGACTACAGTGAGCTGTGATTGTGCCACTGCACTCCAGCCTGGGTGACAGAGCAAGATCCTGCCTCAAAAATCAAAACAAAACAAACGGAACATTTAAAATTATTTGTCCTGGGCGAGACGCAGTGGCTCACACCTGTAATCCCCAGCACTTTGGGAGCCCGAGGCGGGTGGATCACTCGAGGTCAGGAGTTCAAGACCAGCCTGACCAATATGGTGAGACCCCCCGTCTCTACTAAAAATACAAAATTAGCTAGGCATGGTGTCACATGCCTGTAATCCCAGATACTTGGGAGGCTGAGGCAGAAGAATCGCTTGAACCCTGGAAGAGGAGGTTGCAGTGAGCCAAGATCATGCCATTCAGCCTGGGCAACAAGAGTGAAACTCCATCTGAAAAGTTAAAAATTAAAAAAAAAAATTATTTGTCCTGGAATAAAATTGATCTTTATTAAATATGATTACGTTTATCCTGAAATTTCAGGTGTTTGCTCTACACTTCCCTATTTGTTCTCTATAAGTTTGTATTAACCAACTTTGATAAATAGTAAGCACTTTGATGGCAGGGACTAAGTCTATTATTACCTCTGTTATTTCTAACATTAAACACAATATCTAACACATAGTAGATGTTCAATATGTATTGACAAAATAATTGCATGAAAGTTCTCTATTGGAATAATAGTGTTAAATGCCAGTGTTGTGAACATTTTTAAATTTTAAATCATTTTACTCACAGGAAAAGCTTGACTGATGATATCATGAAAGTCGTGCATGTTTTAAAATGGCTTTCTGGCTTATACAATATAACAGAATCTTTTTTTACTTTATATAGTTAAAAGTACAAAATACACAGAAAAGAATCCTATATTATAAGTATTCAGCTCAGTACAACGTTACACACTCAACATGCTCACGTAATAAACACCCACCAACAAACAGAACTTGACCTGCCCTCAGAAGCCCCTCCATACTCTGTCAGGTCATTGCAGCCCTTTTTAACAGGATCGGTTAGTTTTGCAAAATCATTTTATACTTGAATAGGATTTAAGACAAGTAATGTTGAATAGAAAATATTCTGTAACAAATCAGGTTAATGATTTAATATTCATTATTAGCAGCCAACATTATTTGTAGGCCAGGTGTGGTGGTTTATACCTTTAATCCCAGCACTTTGGGAGGCCAGCATGGGAGGATGGCTTGAGGCCAGGAGTTCAAGACCAGTCTGAGCAACATAGCAAGACTCAATAGCCATACTTTTGTATACTATTCAGCACAAAAATGTCAATAATAAGCATTAAATAATACTCATTTTAGCTTTTGTGTTAATTAACAATGAGCAATAAATTCTTTTTTAAATTTTTGATGTGTAATAATTGTACATATTTAGGGGTACAGACTGATATTTTGGCTCATGTATACAATGTAATGATCAAATCAAGGTAATTAGCATATCTCTTACTTCAAACACTCATTTGTTTATTTTGGGAATATTCAAAATCCTCTCTTCTAGCTATTTGAAAATATTTTAAAAATTATTGACTATAGTCACCGTACAATGCTGCAGAACACTAGAACTTACTCATCTTATCTAGTTGTAGCTTTGTATCTGTTAACCAACCTCTCCCTATCTTCCCCTCCTCCATACTCTTTTCATTTTCTAAAAACCACAATTCTACTCTCTACTTCTATGAGCTCAACTTTTTTAGCTTCCACATATGAATGAGAGCATGTGGTATTTATCTTTCTGTCCCTGACTTATTTCACTTAGCATAATGTCCTTTAGGCTTATCCATGTGGCCATGAATCATAGGATTTCATTCTTTTCATGGCTGAATTTTGTGTGTGTGTGTGTGTGTGTGTGTGTGTGTATACCACATTTCTTTATTCGTGTTGATGACACTTAGGTTGATTTCATATCTTGTGAATAGTGCTGAATTAAACATGGGAATGCAGATATCTCTTTGTCATATTGATTTCCTTTCCTTTGGGTAAACATCCAGTATTGGGATTGCTGAATCATATGGTAGTTCTATTTTTAGTTTTTTGAGGAACCGCCGTATAGTTTTCCATAAAGGCTATACTAATTTACATTCCCACCAGCAGTGTATAAGAATTCCTTTTTTGCTGCATTCGCACCAGCATTTTTTATTTTTTGTCTTGTTGGTAATAGCCATTCTAACTGGAGTGAATTGTTACTTTTAAGCTCTTATATCTAACCATCAAATTACTATAACAGATTTTTGTTTGACTTTTCATTTGTTTAGATTAGTAGTTCTCAATGTAGAAGGACCTGACTTAATCTCCCAAAGATTATTTGCCAGTGTCTGGAGATGTTTTTGGTTGTCTTAACCCACCAAAAACAGCTGTCAGTGCTACTGACATCTAGTGTTACCCACAACTGTGTTGCTGTGAAAATCAGTTTTCAGAACAGAGCCCTGTAAAAATGAATTATCTAGCTTAAAATGTCAACAGTGCCAAGTAGTGTTTTTTAAAGAATGGGTGGATTGTTTGTGTTTGATGGAAGTTAGTTTAAATAGATTATAGAGCCTTACTAATGGAGTCCATGGTATCAGAAATTTAATTCCCATAGAAGCTAGTTAACCTGTCTGTAGTTCATGCACTCCAGACCTCAGCCAGATGTCTTAAACATTTCTGCTGCAGATTATAAGAAGAACATGAGAAAATATAGATGGGTTGGTATAAATCTATCACTACTTCTGGAAAAATGTCTCAATATGATATTTTTTACTTAACCCAAGTCTATCTCTCCCCCACATGGCTAGTTCTCACTATGTTGGAATCAGCTTATAAACTTTGACTAGCAGCATTGTTTAATCTTGTTATAAGTTCCTGAATTAATGGTCTACAGGCTTGAGGCAGAGTGAATGCCTCAGAGTTACATTATGGGCAGGCAGTTATCTAGCACCAACCATAGTCTCCTGCCATCTACTGGAGATGTTAGGTGGGAAGGCTTGTAGCCCTCTACACACATTCATACCCACACCCCTGCTCTATTCCTTTTTTTGAGTAGTTATAGGAGGTCAGAAACACTAGAATGTACATACATGCTGGTAATAAATGGAAATTATCTGATAGTTGTTCTTCATGGCTGTGAGGGCATAGTTTTCCATGTATTTTACTGTCCTTTTGTGAGAATACTACCCTTGACAAGTTGATCTATCATGAACAAAGAGAGCCACATTTAAGCTATGACCCTAAAACATTTGTTGTTATGCAGGAAAGAATTAATGGTAATGTATACCAATTCTGACACTCACATAAAGTGTTTCTCCAAAAGTAACCTCAGACAACATGACAACAAACCAAGATTTATATAGTTGGAATTTCAAATCCACGAGTCCTTAGACTGAATGAGAAGATTAATTTAGAATTTGACCATTTGACTCTGCTCATTTAACTTTGAAAGCAGATATAAATAAAAACATTGTATGAAGAAAATTGCTTGGGATAATTTGCATTAAACAGTCTGTTTTTTGTTAAGTGACTTATTTGTATTATGAAACCGTGGCCTTATTAGTATTTTTAGTCTTCCTAAGAAGAAATGGAATATGTCATAGAGCTCTAGGCCTTCTTTAGTTTTCAGTACAAATTTGGTATATTTGGTATTTGGGAGGATACACATGGCATAAGGTAAAGAGAGCGTTAGCTTTCATGTCAGATCCAGGTCCAGATTCTGCCACTTATAAACTGTTACACCTTGGTCCACCTAGCTCTTATGGGCCTTTTTTAGCAACGGAAAGAAGGGAGAATACCTAAATATGATGAGAGAATAAGTAGGTAAAATAATCCTATAAAAGAATGGTCAGGAGGAGTCTGGCCTCTGGCTCTGTCATTGATTACTGGCTGTGCCCATGGACCAGCTGCAACTATTTGAGTGACCTAAAATGGGATGGTGACTTGCCCGAGGTCATACAGTGAGTCAGGGCAGAGCAGTTGAAACTTTACTCTCTAAGTCTCATTTTTCTTCCCTGTAAAATTGTTGTAATGGTGACTGTCTCACAGCATGTTGTAAGGAGAGATGGAGATCATAATTGTAAGAGGCAGCCCACAGTGCTGGCACAGTGTAAGCACCAATAAATGAAGGTAATGAGTACAATAAAATGTGTCACTTAGCCCCTTTCCCCAAATAGTTTGTCTGTCTGGTTGATGAGAGCCATACACACTGTGTGCTAAGACTTAAAAATGTGGGAGTTGATTAAGTTCTAGTACTGCATTATACTAATAATGCTAGTGCATAGTTTAAAGAATAATAAAATACCATAATGCAAAGTTTGTTTAAGCCCTTTACCCTTTTCTTCCTCCATTGGGACTTTATTTTTAGAGCACGTCACAAATTATGCAGAGAAGAGAAGGGTAGGCAAGAATGGAAGCAGAGAGAGCAGTGTGAAGGTAGTACAGTAGGGAGTTATGACACCCTCAGGTTAGAGTGATAGCAGAGGCCGTGGTGAGAATATTAAAAGACTACTCAGCCAGGCACGGTGGCTCACGCCTATTATCCCAACAGTTTGAGAAGTTGAGGTGGGAATATCGCTTCAGCTCAAGAGTTCAAGACCAGCCTGGGCAACAAAGTGAGACCCTGTCTCTACAGAAAATACAAAAATTAGCCAGGTGTGGTGGTGTGCGCCTATGGTTCCAGCTACACGGGAGGCAGAGACAGAAGGGTTACTTGAGCCCAGAAGGTTAAGGCTACAGTAAGCTATGATCATGCCACTGCATTCCAGTTTGGGCGACAGAGCAGGACCCTGTCTCAAAGAAAAAAAGAAAGAAAAGACAACTAAAGGCTTGAGATTTGATAAAATAGTTCATTTTACCGCTTCATTGAGGCTATTCTTAAAGGAAACTAGCATTTTTTTCACAGTGAGTACATGGTGGAGAAGAATACAATACTGAATTTTAAAATGTGCTATTTCTAGTAACCAGGCTTCCTCTTCTTCCCCTTTGACTGCAGATCCTAATTATCTCATGGCTAACGAACGCATGAACCTCATGAACATGGCCAAGCTGAGTATCAAGGGCTTGATTGAATCAGCTCTGAACCTGGGGAGGACTCTTGACTCTGACTATGCACCTCTCCAGCAATTCTTTGTGGTGATGGAACACTGTCTGAAACATGGCTTGAAAGGTAGGCCGTCGTCCCAAAATGCAAATATGCATGCAGCTGTTTTCTAGCAATGCATACTATAGAATAAAGCATTCTTTGTAGAGCCAAAGAATAAGAGGCTTGAATTAATAATATTGATCCATTGGAATGGAGTCTATATAGGAGCAGGGTTATGATTAACTCAGTGGACTTATAGGGCTTTAAAAATACAGATCATTAAATGTTACAGTTGGAAGGGCCATTATAAGTAATCAAATCCAGTACAGTAATTCTGTTTGACAGGTGGAAATAGGCCTGCCCAGAATGAGACATGACTTGGTCAAGGTCACACATTGAGTTGTGGCAGAGTAGGTGCTAGAACTCAGGTCTCCCGACTCTTGGTTCAGTGTTCTTTCCACTTAATTATAAGCTTTTGAGGGCAGTATCTGGTCTTGTTCACCCTTGTTTCCTTTCTTGCTGCCTTCTCAATATTCTTTTCCTGTTATTTTTTGTTTGGTTGTTTTTTTAAAATCTGTGTGCCTATGCTTACCAACTTCCCAATATTCCATAGCCTATTTCTGGACTATATATTCTTTTCTATTGAGCTGTTTTCTTCATTAATACCACACAATTTTAGGCACTAAATTGTTAAAATGTTTTATTATATTATATGGCTAGGCCACAAACTGTTCTTGAAAGAAGAAGGGCTGAGTCTTGGGAAGTAGAAAATTTTTTATTTTCACAAAATATTATCTATTCTACAAGCATGACTGAATCTAAAACCATCTTATAACCTGGGATTGGTTTCCTGAAAAGTTGTGTGTGTGTGTGTGTGTGTGTGTGTGTGTGTATTGAGAGAATGCTTATGTTGTAAAAAATATTAAAATACTGTTTTATTTTTGTTGCCTTAGCTAAAAAAACTTTTCTTGGACAAAATAAGTCTTTCTGGGGACCTCTAGAACTGGTAGAAAAGCTTGTTCCAGAAGCCGCAGAGATAACAGCAAGTGTTAAAGATCTTCCAGGACTTAAGTAAGTCTAAGGTTGAATTCCATTTCTCGGAAACAGCATTCTTATTAACTATCCCTTGAAGAGCAAGACTTCCAATCCAAAATGCATGATGTCCTGAATAGGTGCTGATATGAGAGAATTGGTATACAGAATATTAAGAAAATTGTGCTCTTGAGGGATAATTATTCATCTAAGAGAGGTTGTCTTTTTGTTGAAATGCCAAACATTTCCTTATTTTTTAAAGCACTTGGGGAATCACTTAGTGTGTCTCAAGAAATTGTATCTAAGGGGGTGGCATGCTGGACTTGACTTAGGGAAAAAAGCTATTCAGTGGGTTTGAGAGTCAAGATTAAAACAACTGTCAAATTAACCTGAAGAGCTAGTGACTGTAGCCTGCCTTAGAACTACGAAGTAGTGACCACCTTCCCAAATGAGACTGGTTTAATTTTAATCAGATAGAGGCCTAGATTACCTGTGTCCACATTCATGCTTTGGACTTTTATATAATCCACCTGAATTTATAAGGATTTGCTATTACTAATCTGATGGAACATTTTTAGTTGGGTCTCCCAGAGGCTGAGTCTTCAAATTGTAGTTACATTCAGTAATTCTTTTTGAAAGCATTTGTCCCAAACACCCCCCTGGGTCGCATTAGCCCACACACAGAAATTCCTTGCCCAGGAATATGCTGGGAGAGGTCCTAAGGAGCACCTCAGTGTGCTTGTTACACTGGAACACCATTAGCAAGAATAAGTGAACTGATTCTGCTGTAGCCTTTGCTTCTGTTGCTTGTGTTTTTAGTTGTTTGATTTCTGTGTTTTTGTAGGACACCAGTAGGTAGAGGAAGAGCCTGGCTTCGTTTGGCATTAATGCAAAAGAAACTTTCAGAATATATGAAAGCTTTGATCAATAAGAAAGAACTTCTCAGGTATGAACACCTTGAACTTTCTTCTTTCCTTGGTATGTTCTACATCGTATAAAGTCAAACCATGTAAGTTCACCATTTTTGTGGATCAGAAACAGTTGATTCATAATAGCTTCACTGATACTTTCTCTCATACCTCACACACATATACTCCCAAATGGATGATTTATGTTATGTGTGTTCTGTCACTGTGGTATATATTGATCTTTTCCAGGGCAGGCCAAGACTTACCTCCAGAAAACAGAAGGCACCTTAGCATGTGCCCAGGCTCAATAAGACAAGAACTTGATATGTAGCATTAAATTCAAATATAGCACAAAATTGGATGGGTGCAGTGGTTCACACCTGTAATCCCAGCACTTTGGGAGGCCAAGGTGGGCAGACCACTTGAGGCCAGGAGTCCTATATGGCGAAACCCTGTCTACTAAAAAAATATAAAAATTAGCCGGGCGTGGTGGTGCACACCTGTAATCCCAGCTACTTGGGTGGCTGAGGCACGAGAATTGCTTGGACCCAGGAAGCAGAAGCTGCAGTGAGCCAAGAGCGTTCCACCGCTCTTTAGCCTGGGCGACAGAGTGAGACTCTGTCTATAAAAAATATATATATATAAAAATCACAAAATCTTCCAGATGGATCATAGATACAACTGAGAGAGGCAAAACAGCATTATTTTATTTTATCCATCTTTATTATATGATTCCATTGTATAAAGGTCAAAAATAGGTAAAATCAATCTATGGTGATAGAAATCAGGATAATAGTTACGTTGGAGAAGTGCGGGTAGAGATTGGAAGAGAGAAAGAACTGATTTCTAGGATTCCAGTGATCAGGATAGTGATTACACAGATGTGTTTTTGTGAAAGTTCATGGAACTGACATTTAGTTAGCTGAGATTTGGAAATGTGTGAATGTTGGAATTCGGCCATATTCCGCTTCTGACCAATTCATAAGGTGAGGCTTTTGGGACAATAAACTGTCAAAGAACCTTGTTCATTCCAGTTCTACTCAGTTTCCTTCAGGGGCTATCAAAGAACAAATATAGCACGTGATCAGTTTTTGAGAGAAACGGGAAATTTGCAGCTCATTCATGTACTGTTTTTGTGCTATTTTGTCATTTGTTAATATCTTTTTTTTTTTTTTTTTTGAGACAGAGTCTCGCTCTGTTACCAGGCTGGAGTGCAGTGGCAGGATCTCCACTCACTGCAACCTCCACCTCCCGGGTTCAAGCTATTCTCCTGCCACAGCCTCCCAAGTAGCTGGGACTACAGGTGCACACCACCACGCCCAGCTAATTTCTGTATTTTTAGTAGAGATGGGATTTCACCATGTTGGCCAGGATGGTCTCAATCTCTTGACCTCGTGATCCACCCACCTTGGCCTCCCAAAGTGCTGGCATTACAGGCGTGAGCCACCGCACCCAGCCTGTTAATATCTTTTAGAGAGAATCAGAAAATAAATAAGGAACTAATATCAGTGAATTATATTGATTATTAACAGTGATTGAGGTTGACCTTTAGTAGTCCCAGGTAACTTGTTGAAAACAAATTGATTGGCTGGACGCGGTGCCTCACGCCTGTAATCCCAGCACTCTGGGAGGCCAAGGCGGGCAGATCACAAGGTCAGGAGATCGAGACCATCCTGGCTAATACAGTGAAACCCCGTCTCTACTAAAAATATAAAAAATTAGCCGGGCGTGGTGGTGGGCGCCTGTAGTCCCAGCTACTCAAGAGACTGAGGCAGGAGAATGGAGTGAACCCCGGGGGCGGAGCTTGCAGTGAGCCGAGATCACACCACTGCACTCCAGCTTGGGCGACAGCAAGACAACATTTAAAAAAAAAAAACACAAATTGATTGCAGTGTTGTTTCAATCACGTCAAATTGACTGAAAATGAATACTTCAAGTCACTGGGTTTTTGGTTTTTGTTTTGTTTTGTTTTGTTTTAAGTGAGTCGCGCTCTGTCGCCCAGGTCAGAGTGCAGTGGTGCGATCGCAGCTCACTGCAGCCTCCACCTCCCAGGTTCAATCGATTCTCCTGCCTCAGCCTCCCGAGTAGATGGGACTACAGGCATGCACCACCACGCCTGGATAATTTTTGTATTTTTAGTAGAGACAGGGTTTCACCACGTTGGCCAGGGTGGTCTTGAACTCCTGACCTCAAGGGATCCGCCTGCCTCAGCCTCCCAAAGTGTGGGGTTTACATGCGTGAGCCACCACGCCCGGCCTGTTTCATTTTTTAAAAAAAATCTAAAAGACTATTTTTTAGAGTGGTTTTAAATTTATAGCAATATTGAGTAGAAGGTACAGAGATTTTTCATATATACCCTTCTCCCCTGCACAACCTCCCTCATTATCAACATCCCACAAGAGTGGTGCATTTGTTACAATTGATGAACCTACATCGACACATCATTATCTCCCAAAGTTCATAGTTTACATTAAGGTTTACTCTTGGTATTGTATGTTTTATGGATTTTGACAGATGTATAATGATATGTATCCATATGTCATTATACCATACAAAATAGTTTCACGGCCCTAAAAAATCCTCTATGCTCCGCCTATTCATCTTTCTGTCCTACAACCCCTAATAACCACTGATCGTACTGTTGAGTGTACTGTGGTTTCCAGGGGTTTACTGTCTCTATGGTTTTGCCTTTTCCAGAATGTCATGTAGTGGGAATCATACAGTATATGGCCTTTTCAGAATGGCACCTTTCACTTAGTAATATGCATTTGTTTCCTCCGTGGTTTGATAGCTCCCTGTTTTCTTTCTTTCTTTTTTTTTTTTTTTCTTTGAGACAGTTTCACACTTGTTGCTCAGGCTGGAGTGCAATGGCACGATCTCGGCTCACCACAACCTCTGCCTCCCAGGTTCAAGCGATTGTCCTGCCTCAGCCTTCCGAGTAGCTGGGATTACAGGCATGTGCCACCATGCCCAGCTAATTTTGTATTTTTTTTTTTTTTTAGTAGAGACAGGGTTTCTCCATGTTGGTCAGGCTGGTCTCGAACTCCCGACCTCAGGTGATCCGCCCGCCTCGGCCTCCCAAAGTGCTGAGATTGCAAGCGTGAGCCACTGCGCCTAGCGATAGTTCCCTTTTTTAGTGCTAAGTCATATGCCATTGTCCATTCATCTACTGAAGAACATCTTGGTTGCTCCCAAATTTTGGCAATTAAGAGTAAAACTGCTATAAACACATGTATGCAGGTTTTTATGTGAACATAAGTTTTTAACTCATTTGGGTAAATACCAAGGAATGCAATAGTTAAATCATATGAATTACATCACTGGTTTCTTTGTGTGTGTATTAGTAATTTAGGTGCATTATAAGCAGTATTTAATTGGGTCTTCACGAAATTTTTTTTTTTTTGAGACACAGTCTTGTTCTGTCACCCAGGCTGGAGTACTGCAACCTCCGCTTTCTGTGTTCAAGCAATTCTCTTGCCTCAGCCCCCTGAGTAGCTGGGATTACAGGCATGCATCACTACACCCAGCTATTTTTTGTATTTTTAGTAGAGATGGGGTTTTATCATGTTGGCCAGGCTGGTCTTGAACTCCTGACCTCAAGTGATCTACCTGCCTCGACCTCCCAAAGTGCTGGGATTACAGGCGTGAGCCACTGTGCCCAGCCAATAATTTTTATCCATTCAGATTTTTTTTTTTGTTTTTAGTAGAGATGGGGGTCTTACTATGTTGCTCAAGCTGGTCTCAAAGTCCTGATCTCAAACAGTCCTCCCGCCTTGGCCTCCCCAAGTGCTGGGATTACAGATGCGAACCACCACGCCGAGCTACTAAACAAATGCTTTAAGATGCATAAAAGATTGCAAAATCATGTGACGGTACATCACAAGTACAAATATGTCAGAAAAGTCTGAATACCTGCTTCAACCACAACACTGTTCAGTCACATGTCTTTCTGCGAGACTATTATCTAAAGAATCTATTCATGCACCTATTATCTTTTTTCTTTTAAAAAAATTTTTCTCCAGTTCCATTTGCCAACATCCACCTATTATCTAAAAATAAAATATTTATTAAAGCCTTTCTTTTTGTAATTTTTTAACTATTTTTGTAGATGACTATAATCAACCATGAAGCAAGCGTTTTTGTCCTTGTCTCATGATTACGTCACTGGATTTTTGAGACTTTTGTTACAATAAGGAATTCCGTGGATTTCTCTTACAGTGAATTCTATGAACCCAATGCCCTCATGATGGAAGAAGAAGGAGCCATAATTGCTGGTCTGTTGGTGGGTCTGAATGTCATTGATGCCAATTTCTGTATGAAAGGAGAAGACTTGGACTCTCAGGTATGGGAAAGAGACTCATTACCATGCGTGTCACTCTGAGTTCTGGTATCTCAGAAATGGATTTGATTAGGTTATAGCAATCAAATTAGGCCATACTGTATGTGTCATGAACAGGATTTCCTTCCATTTTGATGGGAATATAAAAAAATAGGTTGTTTTTCCTTCCAGTTTGGCTCATTTATACATTATGAATGTTTTTCAGATTCTTGTCTTGGCTGTACTTTCTGTTAAACATATATATATATACACACACATACATATTTACATACACATACATACACACACAAACACGGGCAAACCCAAGATATTGCAGGTTTGGTTTCAGATCACAACAATAAAGCAAATATCATAATAAAGCAAGTCACATGCATTTTTTGGTTTCCCAGTACATGTAAAAGTTTGTTTATACTAGGCCAGGTGCAATGGTTCACACCTGTAATCCCTGCACTTTGGGGCGGGAGTATCGCTTGAACCCAGGAGTTTGACACCAGCCTGGGCAACATAGTGAGACCCCATCTCTACAAAAAATAAAAAATTAGCTGGTTCTGGTGGCTACTTGGGAGGCTGAGGCAGGAGGATCACTTGAGCTTGGGAGGTCGAGGCTATAGTTAGCCATGATTGTGCCACCGCACTCCAGCCTGGGTGACAGTGAGACCCTGTCTCAAAATAAAACTCTAAAAAATTTTTTTAAATAAAAAGTTTGTTTACACTATTAAGTATGTAATAGTGTATGTGTAAAAAATAGTGTACATACCTTAACTTAAAAATACTTTATTGCTTAAAAAATGCTAACAATCACCTGAGCCTTCAGTGAGTTGTAATCTTTTTGCTGGTAGAGGGTCTTACCTCAGTGTTGATGGCTGCTGACTGAGCTTGGTGGTTGCTGAAAGTTGAGGTGGCTGTGGCAATTTATTAAAATAAGACAACAGTGAAGTTTGCCACATTAGTTGGCTTCCTTTACAAAAGATTTCTCTGTAGCATACCATGCTGTTTGACAGCATTTTACCCACAGTAGAATTTCTTTCAAAATTGGAATCAGTCCTCTCAAATCTTGCTGCTGCTTTATCAACTAAGTTTATGTAATACTCTAGTAAACCATGCTGTAAACAGATGTGCTGTCTTTGCTGTACCCGTTGTTTTTTTGGTTTTTGTTTTTTGTTTTTTTGAGACAGAGTCTTGATGTGTCGCTTAGGCTGGAATGCAGTGGCACCATCTCAGCTCACTGCAACCTCCACCTTCTGGGCTCAAGCAATCCTTATGCCTCATTCTCCTGAGTATCTGGGACTACAGGCATGTACCACCACACCCGGATAATTTTTGTATTTATAGTAGAGACGGGGTTTTGCCATGTTGCCCAGGCTGATCTCAAACTGGTGGCCTCAAGTGATCTCCCTGCCTTGGCTTCCAAAAGTGCTGGGATTACTGACTGAGCCACCACGCCCAGCCTGCTATTCCACTTATAAAGCATAGGCAGAGTAGATTTAGCATCATTCTTAAGGGCCCTAGGATTTTCAGAATGGTAAATGAGCACTGGCTTCAACTTAAAGTCACCAGCTGCATTAGCCTCTAACGAGAGAGTCAGTCTGTCCTTTGTAGCTTTGAAGCCAGGCATTGACTTCTCATCTATAGCTATGAAAGTCCTAGGTGGCATTGTCTAATAGAAGGCTGTTTTGACTACAACTAAAATCTGTTGTTAAGTGTATCCACCTTCATCAATTATCTTAATTAGATATTCTGGATAACTTGCTACGGCTTCTATTATTTACATCAACGCTTGCTGCTTCAACTTGTACCTTTATGTTATGGAGACAGTTTCTTTCCTTAAACTTCGGAAACCAGTCGCTGCTAACTTCAGGCTTTTCCTCTGCAGCTTTTTTACTTCTCAATCTCCATAGAATTCAAGAGCATTAGGGCCTTGCTCTGAATTAGGTGTTGGCTTAAGGGAATATTGTGGCTGGTTTGATCTTCTATACAGACCACTCAAACTTTATTCCTTTCAGCAATCAGGCTGTTTTGCTTTCTTGTCATTCATTTGTTCATTGGAGTAGCACTTAATTCCCTTCAAGAACTTTTCCTTTGCTTTCACAACCTGGCTGTTTGGCCCAAAAAGCCTACCTTTTGACCTGTCTTGGCTTCCGACATGCCTTCTTCACTGAGCTTTATTTTTTCTGGCTTTTGATTTAAAGTAAGAAATGTGCAACTCTTCCTTTCACTTGAACACTTAGTGGCCATTGCAGGGTTATTAACTGGCCTAATTTCAGTATTGTGTCTTAGGGAATAGGGAGGCCAAGGAGAAGGGAGAGAGATGGGGGAACGGCCAGTAAGTAAAGCAGTCAGAACACACACATTTATGGATTGCTTGCCGTCTTATATGGGTGTAGTTCATGGAGCCCCAAAATAATGTTGATAGTAGCATCAAAGATCACTGATTACAGATTATCATAACAGATATAGTAATAATGAAAAAGTTTGAAGTACTGTGGGAATTACCAAAATGTGAAACCCAGACATGAAGTGAGCACATGCTGTTGGAAAAATGGCATTAATAGACTTGCTAGACGCAGGGTTGCCACAAACCTTCAATTTGTAAAAAGTGCAATATCTGTGAAGCAAAGAGCAATAAAATGAGGTGTGTGTGTGTGTGTGTATACTAAAATATATACAGTTGACTCTTGAACACCAGAGTAAGGCACCACATGGTAGAAACATCCCACATAAGCCATGGTGCCCGGCCTATTGTATATTTCATATGCTGTATTCTTACAATAAAGTAAGCTAGAGAAAAGAAAATGTTATAAGAAAATTATAAAGATGAGAAAATATATTTACTATTCATTTAAATGAATGAATTATCATAAAGGAACCAGATCCTTTATGGTCCTTCATATGGATCCATAAAGGTCCTTCACACTAACCAGGTTGACGAGGAGGAAGAGGAGGGGGTTGGTCTTGCTGTCTCAGGAGTGGCAGAGATGGAGGAAAACCTTTATTTTTTTCTGCCTGGATGACAGAGTGAGACTTTGTCTCAAAAATAAAATAATATAATATAAATATAAATACATATTTTATATTGTATATATATAGTATATAAGTGGACTTGCACAGTTCAAAGTCTGTTGTTCAGGGATCAACTGGACAGTTGTCCTTCAGTATCCAAAGGAGATTGTTTCCAGGACCTCTGTGAATACCAACACTCACAATGCTCAAGCCCCTTAAAGTCAGCCCTCTGTGTCCCTGGGTTTTAGGACTTGCTGATAAGGAGAGCCAACTGTACTAAAGGCCATTAAAGCATGGTAGTTAAGAGTAAAGGCCCTGAAGCTAACTGTCTAGTTTTGGATTCTGGCTTCCTCATTTTCTAGCTGAATATATTTTATAATTACTTAGTTTCTTGTTGTTTCAGATTTCTTGATGTAATGCAGTTAGAACAGGGCCTAGTATACATTAATTGCCCAATAAATAATATTTTCACTTTAATTACTTCTCACCCTTTCTGTATGAAATTCTATCACAAAGTTCTGTTATGTTTTATTCTGGTAAAATAGAAAGGGAAGTACGATTTTCTTGGTGTGGATTTTTTTTTTTTTTTAGATGGAGTTTCGCTCTTGTTGCCCAGGCTGGAGTGCAATGGCGAGATCTCGGCTCACCACAACCTCCACCTCCCGGGTTCAAGCGATTCTCCTGCTTCAGCCTCCCGAGTAGCTGGGATTACAGGCGTGTGCCACCATGCCCAGCTAATTTTTGTATTTTTAGTAGAGATAGGGTTTCTCCATGTTGGTCAGTCTGGTCTCGAACTCCTGACCTCAGGTGATTCACCCACCTCGGCCTCCCAAAGTGCTGAGATTACAGGCGTGAGCCACTGTGCCTGGCCTTTGGCGTGGATTTTTAAAAAGAAAGAAGCTAAATCATAAAATGGCAATCTTAAAAAATGAAGATGTGTACATCAATGAAAGTTTGGAGGAATAGACACCAAAATGTTAGCAATGGTCATCTATGGTGGTTGGGATTTAATATTACTTCCCCTTTTGTTTAGCTGTATTTTCTGAAACTTCTACAGGGGAAATGTGCTAATTTTTAAAAAGTTATTTCTAAAAATGAACAGGGATTCAGTAGCGGAATACCCGAAATAAGCAAAAGAGAAAGAAACTTTAGACCTTATTTATATTAAGTATTCCATTGACTGTCTTAGTTGTGATCTGGTCTTCTAGTCTTATTGACATAATCTTGATTCTTTACTTCCCACCCTTGTTAATTCTTGATTAAACTGAAAGTAAAACAGTAAATTTTTAATCATACATTCCTAATAAGTGTCAAGACTGTATTACTGTTTTGAGTGCCTAGAAGGAGATATTGTGTTATGTCTTGTAAAGAATATCTAATTTTATATTAAAACCTGAAAATTCTCTCTGTAGGTTGGAGTTATAGATTTTTCAATGTATCTCAAGGACGGGAACAGCAGTAAAGGTACTGAAGGGTACGTACCAATAAAATTAGGTTTCTTTTCTCCTGATGTAGTATTTTTTTTCCTTTGGTAGTATTTAAAGTTTACAACAATACTGTTTTAACAGACTTGCTGAAAGAATTTCTGATCATATAGCTTTAATAAAGTCTTGCCAGAAATATCTGACTATTATGCTACCACTAAACCCTAAAAGTGTTGTTTTGTTTGTTTGTTTAATGATTTTCCTGCTATGTGGTTCAGGGGCAAAGAAAATAAAAATTTTCTAAAGGATTCCAATTCTCTATGTCTTATAGTAGGGTTTAAAAACATGGTCATTTTGACCAGAGGAGTTGCATTCTCAGTTTGCTTTAAATTGGCAATATGAAATATGCACCGTGAGGTTATGTAAAATGTTGACATTAGGGGAAACTGAGTGAAGGTACGTGGGAACTCTGTACTGCCTTTATACCTCTTCTTGTAAATCTAAAATTATGTTAAACAGTTTTAAAATATTCATTAGGGTACTTAGTAATTAGAGATCAGAAGCACAGCTATTCTCTTTATAAGTGTAGCCATTGAAAGCATAATTAGTCTGATGTTTTTGATTTTTGACACAGAGCTAAGATTGTCTCACTGTTCTTTTGGTAGTTGTATAAGTTTGGGGCCTTAATTTTATCTGTCAGCTGAAAAATCTGGCTGTTTATCTTTTGTCACTATAGATTAGTTGGTTGTAGTTGCCAACCTCCTTTATCCAGTTTTTTTTTTTCATGTAATAATAAACATTTGGGCCAGGTATGGTGGCTCATGCCTGTAATCCCAGCACTTTCAGAGGCCAGGGCAGCCAGATCACCTGAGATCAGGAGTTTGAGACCAGCCCGGGAAACATGGTGAAACCCCATCTCTACAATAATATAAAAAAGAAAATGAGCCAGGCATGATGGCAGGTGCCTGTAATCCCAGCTATTTGGGAGGCTGAGGCGGGAGAATCACTTGAACTCAGAAGGCGGAGGTTGCAGTGAGCCGAGATCACACCATTGCACTCCAGCCTGGGTGACAGAATGGGACTCTGTCTTAAAAAAAAAAAAAAAAAAAATCCATATATATAATATATATGAAATATTAAATATAAAATATTAAATATACATAATATATAATATTAAATATATGTAATATATATAATAAACATTTGATCTTTATGAAAGCCTTTTTAACCATTCACTTTAAATGTTAAATAGCACTTACAGACAAATATTTAGACATTGAGAACAGCTATATTACATCAGAGTGAGCTTAATTCAAGTCCTATGACGATTGGAAATTGTTACTATTAAGTACTACTACTGAAGCTGAAAAACCTATTAACAAGAAAATTTTATCCTTTAAATGCGTCTAATAGATTGCAACATCATACCTGTGACCTAAATTATTAATACTAAGGTTTGTAAGCTACAACAAGAGCTTTATTAGTGTGGGGTTTTGTCATTTTTAAACTCCTGACTCTTGTTAATATGTCAGTAGGGTTTTACATCAAATCTGTCTTATGGTTCAGTGTATCTGTGCCACAATTTTTTTCTCATGTTTTATGAAAAGATGGGGTGAGGTGGGGTTGGGATCTTGGTATTTCTTATGTTATTTAGTTTATTTCTGTTTTCTTCCCCTTCCCCCAGAGACGGTCAGATTACTGCAATTCTGGACCAGAAGAACTATGTAGAAGAACTGAACAGACATTTAAAGTAAATAATGAATAAATGTATTACTTTACTGGGGAATTGTTGAAGGAGAAGGGAAGAGTAAGATGATGAGCAGTGAGATTAAATTCAGACAACGTTCAACAAATATTTGTAGAATTCCTGCTTGCCAGGCACTGAGTTAGGCACTAGATAAATAAAGGGCATTTAACAGTTTTGGTGACCTTTAGTGAAAGGCAGTATATAATGTTATATATAATATAAAATAACAGTATATAATATTATGTACGTAATTATAACTCTAGCGATTAAATACATAAATACATTCAGTTAAGAATTTTTAAATATGTGACATACAGTTGAAATGGGTGGCTTTTTCAGTTGAGTAGATGTAGCTGCATATTTCACGGCTGATCTTGTGTAAACCACTCGTTACATTAGTACCTTTAAATTAATCATATCATCCAGGTGTGGTGGCTCAAAACCTGTAGTCCCAACACTTTGGGAGGCCAAGGCGGGAGGATTGCTTGAGCTCAGAAGTTCAAGACGAGCTAGGGTAACATAACAAGACCTTGTCTCTATTAAAAAATTCAATAAAACTAGCTGGGTGTGCGCTTGTAATCCCAGCTACTTGTGGGGCTGAGGTGCGGGGATCACTTGAGCCTGGGAAGTTGAGGCTGCAGTGAACCCTGGTCTTGCCATTACACCCCAGCTTGGGTTACAGAGCCAGACCCTGCCTGAAAAAAAAAAAAAAAAAAAAGATACATACTTTGCTTCCCTGCATTTCTCATTTGTACATTGAATTAATAGCATTAATTTAATATATAAATTAAATTTCTTTGCCATTATTGCAGTTAATTCACCAAGTAGTCACAAAGTACAGTAGTTCCCGCTTATGTGGAGGGGATACATTCTAAGACCGCCAAAGGATATCTGAAACCACAGATAGTACCAAACCCTGTATATACTATGTTTTTTCCTATACATATATACCTATGTTTAAGTTTAATTTATAAATTAGGCAAGGCAGGAGATTAGCAACAATAATAAAATAAAACAATTTTAACAATAGACTATAATAAAAGTAATATGAATGTAGTGTCTGCCTCAAAATCAGCACATCCTTTTATTTCCTTTTCATTGAACTTCTTCCTAGTTTTCTCAGGTTTTTTTCCCCCTTCAGTTTTCTGTATTTATATTTATTATTGTCCTTAAATGACTATGGCTATTCTATGTCTGAGCACAGTGAACAAAACATTAAAGTTTAATTAAAAATTAAAGAGGCCGGGCATGGTGGCTCACGCCTGTAATTCCAGCACTTTGGGAGGCCCAGGCGGGTGGATCACGAGGTCGGGAGATCCAGACCATCCTGGCTAACATGGTGAAACTCCGTCTCTACTGAAAATAACAAAAAGTTTAGCCGGGCGCGGTGGCAGGCGCCTGTAGTCCCAGCTATTCAGGAGGCTGAGGCAGGAGAGTGGCGTGAACCCTGGAGGCGGAGCCTGCAGTGAGCCGACATCGCGCCACTGCACTCCAGCCTGGGCCACAGAGCAAGACTCCATCTCAAAACAAAACAAAACAAAAATTAAAGAAAGAGAAGGAACGAGAAAGAAAGCATTAGAAATACCAGTTTCAAGATTTTGTGCATTGAGAAATCATTATTTCCAAAAGATTTTCTAAGGGCCACTGTCCTTATGACAATTCAGTGTTATATATATGTTCACGGTTTGTTTTTTTTTTTTATCTTAGGAGAAATAAAAATCCTTACTGGATAATCCTTACTGGATAATCCTTATTTATGTGTGTTTTTTGAACATACTCAGACTTCCCTCTATTGTTTGTTTCATAGAGAGCACATATCAGATTTGGATATCTTATCTGGGATTTAAACAAAATGTTTATACATGAGTCTATCAAAATCCTTATTTACATGTAAGAAAAAAATACATGCCCAGCTTTGCCCAAGAAAGTCCCAGAGGGAGAATAGTAGCTTATTGTACTATTCTTACCTATTTTTGAACCACAGCTGAGTGCAGGTAACTGAAACCACAGAAAGCAAAACTATAGATAAGAGTGGACCACTGTATTTTCAGAACTTTCCAGAACATAAAACAGTTTCCTCTCGCCTGAGGAGAGCTATCCAAAAGCTATTGGTATTCTCAAGTACTTTGATGTTCTTATTATGTTAAGACTACTGAATAATTTTGAATAATAATATATTCATTAATTATTATCTTGTTTGTAGTTCTCTTATGAAAAATAGACATTTTTAATTTAAGTAAAACTTGTGATTATACTATCAGTAAAGTTTTAAGTAGTCTTGGTTCCACCTAGCAAATTCAAAACAATTTAAGTACATTTTCTCTGGAGACCAAGAACTAATATAATGACTTTAATGAACTATGGAGATGTTAGCCAAGCAAAGACATGGTTACAGTTCACAATGAAATATAAACAATGGCACTATTATTTACTCTTTCTATGCCTTAGTTTCTTTATCTGTAAATGAGAATACCTAACATAAAGGGTTGTTGAAAGGAATAAACGCAATAACGCAAATAACATAATTTAGAAGACGGTTTGGTGCATGTAAGCATTTAATTCTTATAGCCTGTTATTATCATATGTAGATAAACCTTAAAGTTTACTCTGTAGGGAATGAACTCTTTTATTTCATTGAATAAATACTTATTGAATTAAAACTCAAATGCCAAAGATACAGCAGTTAAAGCTGATAACGCCTTTTGTAAGCTTAGAGGTCAAGATTTGTGAGCATTAAGGCCTGGCGCAGTGGCTCATGCCTGTAATCCCAGCACTCTGGGAGGCCAAGGCAGGTGGGTCACTTGAGGTCAGCAGTTTGAGACCTGCCTGGGCAACAGGGTGAAACCCCATCTCCACCAAAAAATATAAAAATTAGCTGGATTTGGTTGTGCATGCCTGTAGTCTCGCACCACTGCACTCCAGTTTCGGCGACACGACAAGACTCCATCTAAAAAAGTAATAATAAAATAAAATTTAAAATTGTGAACATTAGACAGTGAAGGATAAGTGTGAAGCGTTTAAAAAGGAAGGTACAGGGTATTGTCTGTTTTTCAAAAGTGATATTTTTTTTTTCTCTTTATAGTGCTACTGTAAACAACCTTCAGGCAAAAGTAGATGCATTAGAAAAATCCAACACTAAACTGACAGAGGAGGTAAGTTTTGGAAATTCTTTGATTGACTTATAGAATTTAATATGCATTAGTAGAACTAATAATTTTTATGTAACCTTGGAAAGAAAGAACTTGACTTTTCAAAGAATATCAACTGTAGTACGTAACTCCTTATTCTTTTTTCTTTTCTTTCTTTTTTTTTTTTTGAGACGGAGTTTCGCTCTTGTTGCCCAGGCTGGAGTGCAATGGCACGATCTTAGCTCAGCGCAACCTCCGTCTCCTGGGTGCAAGCGATTTTCCTGCCTCAGCCTCCCGAGTAGCTGGGATTACAGGCATGTGCCACCACCCCTGCTAATTTTGTATTTTTCTAGTAGAGACAGGGTTTCTCCATGTTGGTCAGGCTGGTCTTGAACTCCTGACCTCAAGTGATCCACCCGCCTCAGCCTCCCAAAGTGCTGGGATTACAGGCGTGAGCCACCGCGCCCGGCCCATAACTGCTTATTCTGACTAGAATGGCCAGTTGGCTTATTGCGGGATCTCATTTACCCAATTAGACTGTGTAGGGGCATGTTGCCTGGTTGATGGTGTATCTTGGTTTCTTTTGTGTGCATGTTTTGTCTGGGCTAGCTTAGACTAAATGTTTAGCATATAGCATATTCATCATTTATTCATTCAGTGAACATTTCACACACTGTTTATGTGCAAGAGCTAGACAAATATTTATATGTGCCAGACATTGATTTATGTTCCAAATTGGCAAACTCCCCACTCCCTTTGTCCTTGTTTTCTTCCTGGAACAGTTACATAGATAAGGTAAAGAGTACTGGTCAGAAGATCTGTAATCCCTGGCTACAAATCATGCTTATGTAACTCATGTGCTCCTGAGTAAGTCAGTCACTTGACCTCCAAGGGACTCAGTTCCGTCACTGGAAAATGAGTGTTTACAATATACTTCCTTTTCAGCCTCACAATTAACTCTGAAGATCAGATAAGAATATGAAAACTCTTAGAAAAGTCCCTAAAATAAGAACAGAAAAATAACCTCATGTTTTACTTCTAATAAAAAGATTTTTTTCCTTAACTTGCCAAAGCCTTAGCTACAGATATTTTTTCTTTAAATAGCATTATATGTTTTTATGAAAAATACTCTACTGTATTGACTAATACTGTTGCAAGCTAGCCACATGTAGGTATTGAGCACTTGATTTGCGCTTACTACTATTGAGAAACCAAATTTTTTAACACAAACCTCACTAAACTAGTTGCTGTCAGAAAAAAATGATTCATATAGAATGATTTTTTTTTCCCTGCACAATGATGTAACATTTTAATAAACTAATTTGAAATTTCAAAAAAAAAAAAAGAAAAATACTAAATAACATTGTCCAGATGGCAAAGAGTTTACCTTCTTTATTTCTTTTTCTTTTTTTTTTTTTTTTTTTTTCCTGAAATAGGGCCTCACTCTGTTGTCCAGGCTGTAGTGCAGTGGCACAATGGCTCACTGCAACCCCTGCCCCTCAGGCTCAAGTGATCTCCCACCTTCAGCCTCCCAAGTAGCTGGGATCACAGGCATGCACCACCACACCTGGCTATTTTTAGTAGAGAGGGGGTCTTGCCATGTTGCCCAGGCTGGTCCTGAACTGCTGAGCTCAAGCAACCCGCCTGCCTCGACTTTCCAAAGTGCCAGAATTATAGGCATAGCCACTGTGCCTGGCCCACCTTCTTTATTTTTAATTGTAATGATGCCCTTACACCCCATGGGATGAATTTAGTTTAAATAAAATAAAATTGAAGCACTAGTCAGGAAGATGCTTTTAATCGGTTTCTCTTTAGAATGAACATTTTCATTATTATAGTTTTAAAATACCTTTTTTGTTACTCAGCTCTGTGGCCTTCACTTCTGGACAAAAATTTTTAAATTTTATAAATCTTAAAACTTTAATTTGTGCTTATGGTCCTTAGAATCTTATCATATAGACTTTTGGAATGTTCAGCGCAGACTTTTTACTGTTACTCTGTTGCTACTTTGTTGAATCTGTACAGCATAGCAATTAAGCATGCTCTGTACAGTTAGGCTACTTGGGTTCATGTCCTGGCTTTGGCACTTGCTAGTTTTTTGGGGGTTTTTTGTTTTGTTTTTGTTTTTTGTTTTTTGTTTTTTTGGTTTTTGATTTTTTTTTTTTTTGAGATGGAGTATTGCTACGTCACCCAGGTTGGAGTGCAGCGGCGCCATCTCGGCTCACTTTAATCTCCGCCTCCTGGTTCAAGCAATTCTCCTGCCTTAGCCTCCCGAGTAGCCGGGACCACAGGCATGCACCACCACAGCGGGCTAATTTTTGTATTTTTGTAGAAACAGGGTTTCACCAGGTTGGCCAGGCTGGTCTTGAGCTCCCGACCTCTGGTGATCCACCCACCTCGGCCTCCCAAACTGCTGGGATTACAGGCATGAGCCACCGCACCCAGCCACTTGCTAGTCTTCTAATCCTGGGCCAATTACTTAAGCTTCTATTCCTTGATTTACTTATCTGTAACATGGAAATAGCAATAATAACATTTTGTGAGATTGCTGTGTGAATGAAATGATTTAATACATTATTAGGGCTTAGAACAGCACCTAACACATCATAAGCACTCAATAAATATAGTTGTTAATTTTATTCTCTCAGTCATAAGACTTGTCTTCCTTAGAGTTAAATTAATACTATTTATTCATTTACTTATTTATTTTACCAACAACACTTACTTTCTTAAAGAAAATATGCTGTAAGAAAGCAGATGGGATTAGTTCTGCCTTTTCTCATTTCCGTTTTGGGTTTAAGAGAGCCAGTAAGGCCAGGCACGGTGGCTCGCGCCTGTAATCCCAGCACTTTGGGACGTCAAGGTGGGTGGATCGCTTGAGGCCAGGATTCCAAGACCAGCCTGGGCAACATGGCGAAACCCCATCTCAAAAAAAAAAAAAGGCCAGTCAGAAAGATAGCAGCCCTCTTTTCCCCTCCTGGGTTTTGAATCTGAATGACAGACTAAGACGAATTAAGCAGATGCAGATATAAATATCCACTTCAGGCCGTGCATGGTGACTCACACCTGTAATCCCAGCCCTTTGGAAGCCAAGGCAGGAGGATCATTTGAGGCCAAGAGTTCAAGGTTAGCCTGGGAAACATAGTGAGACCCCATCTCTACACCAAAAAAATTAGCCGGGTGTTGTGGTGCACACTGTAGTCCCAGCTACTGGGGATGCTGAGGTGGGAGGATTGCTTGAGCCCAGGAGACCAATGCTGCAGTAGCCAAGATTGTGCCACCACACTCCAACCTGGGCAACAGAGGGAGACCCTGTCTCAAATAAATAAATAAATAGATAGGGAGATAAATAAATGTCTACTTCATTTTTGGTAAAGCTGAATTGGAAAACCTCCTGTGATCTGCAGCCATAATCAGGTTGCCCAATAGTTTCTCTTAAATCTAAGAGATTTAAGAGAACAACCTGTGTTTGGAACAACCTGCCTGAGGGCATACTTGGATCTAGAGAGGAGACCTACTTGCCCAGAATTGGTTTCTTGTACATTTTTAGGCCACAGGATCTGAGAGAGAACTGGGTTTTCAGGCCTGCCCCCAGAAAGCGTGAGCTGCTCTGTGCTTACCATGTTAGTACAGGAACTGAATAGAGCCTGAACCTATTGCTAGTGAGGAGACAAGAATTGAGAAGGAGACTAGCCTGGCTGAGAGGAGCCTGCTTGGTTATTCCTCCCAGCCTCCTGCAGGCACCTTCACATTCTCTGGGAGTTTAGTAGATGCAGAGAAGGAAAAAGTGTTTCCACCTTACTTTTTCCTTCTAAGAAAGAGATATAAATGTTTCCCCATAGCAGCTTACTGCTAATAACATTACCTGATCTTTTTAGGTGTTGAAATGAAAAATCTCCTCAATGCTTAATGGGATTTTTAGCATGAGAACTTTGGAGTTCATGTCTTTAATCTTTTAAGAAATCATCTATAAAAGATCTTATAGAGGGTTTGTCACATGGGTTCCATGGTGTGACAGGACCCCTTTATTAAACATTTTAGAAATAGATGTTCTTAATAAATATATTTTTTTCTTACTAAATATGTGTATATCTATAAGAACACCCTTGAGATCATCTTAAGGTGCAGTGGCTCACGCCTATAATCCTAGCATTTGGGAGGCCGAGGTGGGCAGATCTCTTGAAGCCAGAAGTTCAACACCAGCCTGGCCAACATGGTGAAACCTTGTCTCTACTAAAAATACAAAAATTGGCTGGGCATGGTGGTACATGCCTGTAGTTCCAGCTACTTGGGAGGCTAAGGCATGAGAATCACTTGAACCCAGGAGGCAGAGGTTACAGTGACCTGAGATCATGCCACTGCACTCCAGGCTGGGCAATAGAGCGAGGCCCTGTCTTAGAAAAATAAAGAAAGAAAAATATTTATCTTGAGTTCCTATAATAACATTTTTATTGGGTTATAGCTTGCTTGCTTTCTAAGAATATCCAAGCCCGAGAATTACATCCTAGCAGATTGTGAATTATCTTATACTATGTTAATTTTAAAAACATAAAGAATTATTTTTAAAATTTTATCCACAGCTTGCAGTTGCAAACAACAGGATCATTACCTTACAAGAAGAAATGGAACGAGTTAAAGAGGAAAGTTCCTACATACTGGAATCCAATCGGAAGGTTAATCTTACTGGGTTTATAAAATATTCATTGAGAGCATGTCAACTTGTTAGTGGTAAAGGGGAGTGAGTCTCTAAAGGACTATTTTAATCAGCTGGCCTGTATCAAGTACACTTTTTATTTAGACTCCATGCATATGTGATGAAGGTTGTGGGAGGGTTATGTGCCTTTTCCTACAAGATGCTTCTTGACTTCACAGCCACCTACATCTGTTTAGAGACTTCACAAAACAGTCTAATTCCGTTTCTTGTTTTTATGTACTAATGATTCATACAGTATTTAACAATTTGTTATGTTAAATATACTATTACTTTTACACCATGTTACTGTTTTATAAGAAGTGACACCTCATTTATATATCACTGGGAAAGAGCTACCATATAAATAAATGTATTTTCTAGATAACTTAATTCCTTAAAGCACCAAACTTTTTATACATGTCATTTTCTAGATAACTTAATTCCTTAAAGCACCATACTTTTTATACATGTCTGATTAGAATTTTGTAAACCTTTATGTTTTGTACAATCCGAGCCTTCTTAATTAAGACATAATTTAATACATTTAGCCCTTTATGATGACTGAGGATCATAATTACCAACATTGACAATTCTCTGCTAAATTATAATAGTGCCACTTTAGGAGGCTATTGAAATTGATAGAGCTTCTGACACCTACACTTAAATATTCCCTGATTTCTGTGGATGGTTTTTTTCCCTATCTTTTTTGTATTCACTAGCATCTCTTACTTTTTATTGATGCTTAGTGTTGTTATCTCTAGGATGATCTCTCTACTTCCTTTTATCTTCATGCTTCTAATCTACTGTCCCTAGGAATTCAAATCCATAGTTATTAAAATTGTTCTTAAAGAGTTACTAGGCTCTGCGAGGGGACAAAAGCAGTTTTCCATGAGTAAAGTGATCGACTTTAATGCATGGACTTCATGACTGCTCAGAATAATTTTTTTATGACCTGCTTGTTTTTATCTGTGATCTCGCTGGATAGTTGAAGATACGAGTTGTGAATTCTCTGGCGATTGAATGTATTAACATTTAAACCTATAGCCCCTGGGCTGGGTGCAGTGGCTCACACCTGTAATCCCAGCACTTTGGGAGGCTAAGGAGGGCAGATCACTTGAGGTCGGGAGTTCGAGACCAGCCTGGCCAACATAGTGAAACCTCGTCTCTACCAAAAATACAAAAATTAGCCAGGTGTGGTGGCACATGCCTGTAATCCCAGCTACTCGGGAAGCTGAGACAGGAGAATCACTTGAACCCAGGAGGTGGAGGTTGCAGTGAGCAAAGATTGAGCCTCTGCACTCCAGCCTAGGCGACAGAGTGAGACTCCATCTCAAGAAAGAAAAAAGAAAAACCTATAACCCAACTCTTATTTTGAAGAGGCTGATTTTTAAAACTTCTACCATCTGGTTTGGTAACCTATTTTAGGATTTTAAATAAAGTGTCAGGAAACCCCCAATTCAGCTTAACCTTTAAAAATATACTAGACTTCTTCAATTTCTTTGTTGTGTTTGTTCATTATTATACCTGCTTCAGTATGATCTTTTTTTCTTACTAAGTAGCAGTGTTAGTGTCTATTAATTCTGTATAGATCAAATCCTTAAATATGTACAATGTTATTTATCTTTTCAAGGGTCCCAAGCAAGACAGAACTGCAGAAGGGCAAGCACTAAGTGAAGCAAGAAAGCATTTAAAAGAAGAGACACAATTACGATTGGTAAACTTTGCTTAATTTCTAATAGTTCAGGAATATATTAAAAGGTAACTGCCCACTTACACGTTTTATCATACAAAGATTAGAAATATCAATAGCGTTCTAAAAAACTATAGATCCTATAAAATGGTTTATCTCTTTTTAAACCACATCTCAATCTTTTTCTGAGTATTCTCAACAATAAGATTTTGTTAATTTTTATTTTTTTGCTTTTGTAGTTTGTATTACAACAATATTAAGTATACAGAACCTACTTTTTTAAACTATGCAGTCTCAATCCTACCTAAGTCCTCATCCCTGCAAAGATTCTTGGAGTGGTGGCTCCTCTTTTCTTTACAAAGAATCGTTAATGTAGGATTACTCTATTTTAATAATTTTTAGCTGTTATTTCTGATGTATTATGGTCTTAGATATAAATGGAAAACTTATCATCCAGTATTAGTCTTAAGATTTTTTAGAAATTAAAAAAAATACATATAAATATATAGATAGAGAGTATATCACCTCACTCTAATCAGAATGGCAACTATCAAATTGAAAGATAAGTGTTGACAAGGATGTAGAGAAAGAGAACCTTTACACGCTGCTGGTGAAAATATAAATTAGTATAGCTACTATGTAAAACAGTATGAAGGTTGTCTTAAAAAATTAAAAATCGGGCCAGACACAGTGGCTAACACCTGTAATCCCAGCACTTTGGGAGGCCGGGCAGATGGATCACATGAGGTCAGGAGTTCGAGACCAGCATGACCAGCATGGTGAAACCCTGTCTCTACTAAAAATACAAAAAAAAAAAAAGCCAGGCATAGTGGTATGCACCTGTAATCCCAGGTACTTGGGAGGCTGAGGCAGGAGAATTGCTTGAACCTGGGAGGCAGAGGCTGCAGTGAGCCAAGATTGTATCCCTGCACTCCATCCTGGGTGAAAGAGCCAGACTCTGTCTCAAAAAATAAAAAAATTAATTAATTAAAAATCAGTCTAGCATATGATCCAGCAATCCCACTACTGGGTATATATCCAAAGAAAATGAAATCAGTATGTCAAAGAGAATCTGCACTTCTATGTTTATTGCAGCATTATTCACAGTAGCCAAGATATGGCATCAACCTAAGTGTTCATCAACACGTGAATGGATAAAGAAAGCATGGTACATAAACACAATGTGATGCTATTCAGCGATAAAAAAGAATGAAATCCTGTCATTTGTGGCAACATGGGTGAACCTGGAGGACGTTATGTGAAGTGTAATAAGCTAAACACAGAAAGAGAAATGCCATATGATAACACTCATGTGGAATCTAAAACGTTCTCATAAAAGTAGAGAGTAAGGTGGTGGTTACTAGGGGGAGAGGAAGCAGGGGATAGTAAGAGATTGGTCAACAGGTACAAAGCTATAGTTAGATAGGAGGAATAAGTTCTGGTCCTCTGTTGCATAGTGTGTGGTGACTAGAGTTAATATTAATATACATTTTAAAATAGTTAGAAGAAAGGTTTGTTGTTGTTGTTGTTGTTGTTGTTGTTTTTATTGATGCATAATAGATATACATAGTTCCAGGGTACATAATTTAATATACTCATGTAATTTGTAAAGACCAAATCAGTGTTCTCGAGATACCCATCACCTTAAATATTCGTCTTTTCTTTATGCTGGGAAGAAAAGAGACTTTTGAATATTCTCATCATAAAGAAATGATAAATGTTTAAGATGATAGATACGTTTGTTTCTCTGATTTGGTCATTACACAATTTTTATATTATCGAAACATCATGTTCTACACCATAAATTACTATGTGTCAATCATACTTTTTTAAAAAAGAATTTATAATAAGGGATACTGTTCCTGTACTGGATTTTCTCCAGGTGCTAGTGTTATTATATTAATAACCCCTGGTTTTCACATATTAACTCTTCCTGGAGTTTAGATAGTGTAACAAACACAAGGAACTCCCCAGAAAGTCTTTAAGAATAAGGAGGAGCCTGAAAGTAAGGAGTGACTTAACTTGTACTAAAAAATTATTACAGGCCAAGGGCCAGGGCTCACACCTGTAATCCCAGCATTTTGGGAGGATCGCTTGACCTCAGGAGTTTGAGACCAGCCTGGGCAACATAGGGAGACCCTATCTCTACAAAAATTACAAAATTAACCATGCTTGGTGGTGCATGCCTGTATTCCCAGTTACTTGGGAAGCTGAGGAGGGAGATCACCTGAGCCCAAGGAAGTTAAGGCTGCAGTGAGCTGAGATTGCACCACTACACTCCAGCCTGTGTGACAGAGGGAGACCCTGTCTCAAAAATATATATATGTTACAAATTGACAGAATATAACAGAATTTTAGATTTTTTTTTTTTTTTGAGATGGAGTCTTGCTCTGTTGCCCAGGCTGGAGTGTAGTGGTGCAATCTCAGCTCACTGCAACCTCCACCTCCCGGGTTCAAGAGATTCTCCTGCCTCAGCTCCTAAATAGCTGGGATTACAGGCGCCTGCCACCACACCCAGCTCATTTTTATATTTTTAGTAGAGACGGGGTTTCACCACATTGGCCAGGCTTGTCTCAAACTCCTGACCTTGTGATCCACCCACCTCAGACTTCCAAAGTGCTGGGATTACAGGTGTGAGCCATTGCACCTGGCTAGAATTTCAGATTTTTTGAAAGCAAAGTGGTATTATTTTAACATCCTTAAAATACTTAGCGTTTGCCTTCTATGTGTTTGTGACCGAGATCTGAAAATGTAATACTTTTCATAAGAAAGGTCGCAGGAATAATATATGTCAGCATTTTAAGAAGGGGTATGATTCGTTTTCTATAATGCTAATCATGTAAAATGAGAATCTCAGTGAAGTGGCACATAATAAAAATCTTAAAATTTCTCATATCCTGGCTGGGCACGGTGGCTCAAGCCTGTAATCCCAGCACTTTGGGATGCCGAGACGGGCGGATCACGAGGTCAGGAGATCGAGACCATCCTGGCTAACACGGTGAAACCCTGTCTCTACTAAAAAATACAAAAAAACTAGCCGGGCGAGGTGGCGGGCGCCTGTAGTCCCGGCTACTCGGGAGGCTGAGGAAAGAGAATGGCGTAAACCCGGGACACGGAGCTTGCAGTGAGCTGAGATCCGGCCACTGCACTCCAGCCTGGGCAACAGAGCGAGACTTTGTCTCAAAAAAAAAAAAAAAAAAAAAAAATTCATATCTTTTTATCACAGTAAGACAAATGTTTGTTAAAAAGGAAGGAAACTGAGAAAGCAGGCGAGGTCCTAGGTGAGCCCAAGGCACAAGGCAGATGCAGAAGATCCTCATGTCTTTGTGTCTTTGGTCACTCAAATAATGTTGCAGTAATAATGGTTGAGACAAAAAGAGGCATCATGTTAAGTGAACTAAAAATTCTGTTAGCGGCTGAGCCCAGTGGCTCACGCCTGTAATCCCAGCACTTTGGGAGGCTGAGGCAGGCGGATCACGAGGTCAGGAATTTGAGACCAGCCTGATCAACATGGTGAAACCCCGTCTCTACTAAAAATACAAAAAATTAGCCGAGTGTGGTGGTGCACACCCATAGTCCCAGCTACTCAGGAGGCTGAGGCAGAAGAATCGCTTGAACCCGGGAGGTGGAGGTTGCAGTGAGCCAAGATCGAGCCAGTGCACTCCAGCCTGGGCGACAGAGCTAGACTTCATCTCAAAAAAAAAAAAAAAAAAATTCTGTTAGCCTCTTAACCATACTAGTCATCCTCAGTAATTGCGATGTTACCCCAGGGACCCAGATGGTCCTCTGGGTTCCCTGGGCTCTTGAATATATCAACAACATTCACATTTAGGAGGATTGCAACTGCTTCATTTTGTGCTGACTACTGTAATCCTGTATATATATTTCTATAGTAAGATATGACCATCAGTTGTCTTAAGGTCTAATAAAGTGTCTCAAATATGTGTATATTTTAGACATATTAAATAGCACTACCTTTGGCTTAGCAGGTTTTTCAGATTTGTACATTATTGGGCAAATGTTATTGTGTATTCTAATTATTGTTCATTATCAATTAATTATTGTTAATGTTTCTGAAAATGAATGGTAGCTTAAGCTGTTTTGCTAGAATATTCGACCTGAGAGTTTTGGTATACTTTTTCCTGTGAAATATTATGGTTTGTACTTAGTTGAAGAAACAGAGTGTAAGCAATTTACTTACCTTTGGGGGCAGGATGTTGAAAAAGAGCTGGAGATGCAGATCAGCATGAGGCAGGAGATGGAATTGGCTATGAAGATGCTGGAGAAGGATGTCTGTGAGAAGCAGGATGCCCTGGTATCTCTTCGGCAGCAGCTGGATGACCTCAGAGCTCTCAAGCACGAACTTGCCTTTAAGTTGCAGGTAGGGGAAGTATGAGGAATAGACTCACTGGCTTTCTAAAATCCTGGGGCTCCTCTTCTCCCATCTTATCCTCCAGAATCACACTTTAATTACAAGAAGAAAGAATCACATCTCATTTTAATGCTAACTGCCAATAAACTACTTTCAGAATCAGACCGTCATGGGATCCTGTATGGCTGTTATAGAAAACCATGACCACTTTTCACATTATAGTAGAGGGTGAGGGTCTCTTTTATCCTATAATATAATTTCTATTCTGCAGTCTACTATGCCAGCTGAGTTACATATTCTATTAGCTTTTACACTGGAAAGTGATACATTGATGAACTATTACTGTGATAACACTGCAAATAACAGTACTAACTTTAGATAAATTGCTTTTATTTCCATTTGAGGATTAACTGATATCGAAATATATGAACATTTCTGTTTTCCCACTTACCATTAGATTCAAAAGGCATGTGTGGTTGTAATTTTAGGATTTATGTTATACAGGTTGTTTATCATTATTTTCCATAACAGAGTTCAGACTTAGGAGTAAAACAGAAAAGTGAACTAAACAGTCGCTTGGAAGAGAAGACTAATCAGATGGCTGCTACCATTAAACAACTTGAACAAAGGTAAAAGTCCTGGTTCTTTAATGAAACACTTTGGGTTGTCAGTGCTGATAGTGAAGAGAATGTGCTGTACCTTTGCAAATAGAAAATATATGAAATTCTTCCAAATTAGCATAAGACATTCTGGTAGAAAAAAAGCCAATTAAATATTATGTGTGTTTTCTAAAGTGTGACTGAAATGTTTTTAGGAAATGTCAGTTACTTGACTAGCCTTAAAAAAAAAAAAAAAGGAAAGGTCAGCCTTTGATGACTGTTTTGAACATCAGAACTCTTAACCCTTATCAGAATCATGTGTTAGGGGAAGGATACTTAAAAGCATGAAAGGACTCTTAAATATATGTATGTAATTCTGTGATTTTATTGTTCATCACTAAAGTATTTGAATACTTGGATGCTGGGGTATATAGAGGCAGTGAGAGATAGGTGTCCTCCAAGGATCTATTCTGGATCTTTCCCTTCTTTAACCCTTTTCTCTTTATCTCCCTTTTCTTTCTCCTGGGTAGTTCTGTAGCTTCCACTGTCACCTCCAGTGTGTTTCCCCAGCTTTTACCTTCATCTGGAGACCAGTCTTGAGTTTTCATCCTTTGGGCAGCTATCTTTCACCAGTATCTACAATGTAGTCTGCCCAAAGCACATCTTCTTCCTATGCTACTCTCTTTCTCTGTTTGTGTGAAACCACCATTTTCTGTCTGGCAGCTCAGCAGCCAAGAGAAATGGCTGAGTCTTCAAGATTGAATGTGGCATGGCACCCAAGGTCATTTGATGTGTCTGCCTTCAACACCTGTTCGTCACCCTTCTTGCACTTGAGCAAAACTAAACTACTGGTCCCTGGACGTACTTCCCAGTTTTCTCATTCATTTCTTTCCCAATAGTTCCACCAATTAGAAATGTCTTAATTCTTCCCACTTCCTTATTCTTCATTTTTAAGTTTAGGCTCAAATGCCACCTCCCCAAAGTTTCCTCTGATACCTCTTTGCAGCTAGAAATGATCTGTCTTTCTGGGAATTCCCATAGCTTCATATTCATATTTATCTATACTGTTTATGGCTCTTCTCACTGTCTACTTTACCTTTTAACCCTTTATATATGTGTCCTCCGATGCGAGCGTAAGCTCCCTGAGATTAGTTAACTAATCTTTTGAGTTCCCTCATTAGATCTGTCACAGTGCTTTGAATATATAAGCATTCATTCAGTAGATATATGAATGAATGGATTAATAGGTGACTTCTTATATTCAGATGATTCTTAACTAGTAAGGGTCGTCCTGAACAGCAATGCATATTAATGTTTACTCAAAACTTAATGGCAAATTTGTAAATAAGCCTGAAACCTCTTATATAGCCAAATAAAAATGTATCAGTCTTACCTAGGAAAGACGGTTATATACTTGCTCATACATAGTTATATGTTTATGATTTAACAAAATGATTTTACTGTTCATAAATTGTGCTTTTGAAGTGAAATGTATCAAATTCATTTTCAATGATGCTTTGACTTGGAATTTAAAGCAAACAGAAAGAAAAAATGACATCTCTTTGAATATTAAGCTGACCTATTCTCTTGCTATTTTTGTGTTTCCTGTTTATCCATTTTCTCATTCCCCTTTCACTTCATTGTCATTTTTATTTTATTTAGTGAAAAGGATTTGGTGAAACAGGCAAAGACCTTAAATAGTGCAGCAAATAAACTGATCCCAAAACATCATTAGGCATTTTTCAGTTGGCACGTTGCAAGTCTGATATCACAACTTCATTGTAAAAGGAAGAAATCTGAAAGCTATTACATTTAAGCTCTGATTCTCTCTAAAATGTCACCAAAAAGTTGACTTTGAATTTGTTGGACTTTTAAAAAACCATTTGGAGATGTAGGTTGGGTGTTTTTCATATTGTTTTCTCCCCAGGGTTAGAAAAATTGGTATAAGTTCCTAACTAAAAGCTGAGTAAACTTTGAGAAATTATTTCTGAGTTGACCAATAAATAAAAATACCACTTTTTTGAAAAAGCCTAGGGAATTGAAGCTCTGTACATATATTAATGATGCCTTTACAACCCAATCGTTGATAATATCAGATTCTCGGTGCATTGTTCATGTCTGTATCTGCAAGCCTGTTCTGCCATTGCAGTGTAATGAACTAGAGGTAACTACCACATGAACTCAGACTCTTCTAAAATAGTTCTGTGTCTCTTAGACCATGACCCCTTTTCACTTTTGTTATGTAGGTTTAATCCCCAAGACAAGGATAGTACTTAGTATTTCACTTTCACTACACTTCTATTCTCAGTAACCAAGATTGCTTGCAACTTTTTTTGCCTTAGTGACTTTTGAAAAAGAAAAAAAAGAAAAAACAGCATCCTTATATTTCTTTAAAATATATAGAGATGAAGTTAGTAATTAGGTAACTTATGATAACATAATAATGTGGACACTTGGGGAAACCCTCCTTATGTTTGTCATCTTCTACCTCTGCCATTTTCCTGCAGTTCTGCTTCCTACTTAGGCAGTTCAGAGAGAATGATTCTAATAGAAACACTCCTCTCGTATTAAAAAAATGATGCAGTACCCATTTTTCATATCCTGCTTTTCTTATTGGAATAAAAAGGACAGGGTATAGACATGAATGTTGATATTCTGCCTGGCCTGTCATTTCTTACCTGGAAACATTTACTTAAAAGTTTCTGTTACTTTTTGTTCAGATGGAGGTTTGCTAAAGGTTCTGGGAAGCTAATAATTGAATTATTAAAAAAACATTTCAGAATAGGAAATAAATGATAAACTTACATTCTTTATTATTATTTAGTACAAAAATACAGATTCCCAGTAGATATCCACAAGCAATATTAGCAGGGCTTCTATTTATAAGTGACCACAGACTAACCCTCTCTAGGCTTTAACATTGTAAATAATCCTATAAATACTTTAATTTTTAAGATGATTTTTGATTTGAAGAGATGGGCTTTACATAAGCCTTCATTCCTTCAAAAGGTCCTGACAAAATATTTGGGTTTTTTTCTCTCTTTTTTTTTTCCTTCTGGTATGCTTTGCAGCATTTCAGCTGCTTAGGTGGGGACACAGATAACCCCTTCGCTTCCAGCTCTTAAAATTCTTTATCTTTTTCTTGGCAAAACCAGAATTAAGAGTGTACGATGGATTCCATGTGTGCTTATATAGGTCCCTGCACAGATTGGACTTGAACCAAAATCAAGTCAAAGAACATATGTTTAAACCAACTTCATGGAAGTGGAAGATCCTGTGCTCTTGAACTTATTTTAATTCTTATAATTTGCACCTATATAAACAAAGCTCCTACTACATTCTTCTCTTCATCATCCTTTTGTGGTGATGGGTTGCCTTTTCTATGAGCATTTGGAAGGAGTGATCAAATACCAAAATTAAACTTTCTAAAACCTACACATAGCATGCTTCTAAATTCTATTATATAAAGCCCCAAGTGTTTTACCTTCTAAAACATGCTTCTGTATAGGTGCAAAGTTATAAGATATTTAGAAGAAAACATCCATCAGAATCTTCTAGAGAATATGGTCAGAGTCTTAAACAGGCCCAGTGCTGAGTTCTTTGTCCACTTAGTCACACATCTTTTGTGGGAATGGGAAAGGAAGGAGACAGCCAAATTCTGACAAAGGCTTTTCCTTATGGAATAACCCAAAGCCTGGGTGAGGGTTGATATATAATGTCCCATGATTTAATATATGTGGTTTGGGGGAAAGGACAAGAAAAAACTATAATTCCACATATAAGAAGGTAGTTGCCCGTTTACAAGTTCCAGTTATGTGTGTAAAACAGAAAAATTAAGTACCAAACCTATTAGGAAATTTTTTTAAAAAGTGGATTTAACTTAAATTACTGTGTACTTGAGGTTGGCTTTGGATATGGATTTTCTAAAAAGTGATGTTTTATTGTTTATCATCTAATGGCTGTAAACTGTAGTACTAGAATAAAAAAAAAATGGAAAATCAGCTTTTCCTCTGCCTGGTTCACCTTCATCTTACTTTTCTTTAGAATTTGTTTCTTTTCCATCTTGCCCCCCTCATAATTTCTTTGCCTGTGTCCTGCAAAGTTTTTTTCCTCTCTCTGTCTCTCTGTGCATTCTTCCTTGGGTTATTTTATGTTGTGTTGTGAACTTGGTCTTTCTCCCCACCATGGCTTTTGTTTTTTATCACAAGTTCATGTGGCTCACATCCAGATTGCGCCAGGCTGAGCGAAGCCGCCAGTCTGCTGAGTTGGACAACCGGCTCTTCAAACAGGACTTTGGAGACAAGATCAACAGTCTGCAGCTGGAAGTCGAGGAGCTCACCAGGCAGCGGTGAAGAGGGGGCAGCTTGAGCCGACAGGGTGGTCATGGGTAATTCTTAGGGTAGACAGCAAGAAGAGGGGTCTCATGACTTACAGCCAGGTTGGCTCTGTCTTTGCAATGTCCCTTCTCTGGAATTGGAATTCAGAAAGCTTCACGTACTTCAACATTCCCCAAATCCGATCAACATGCTTTGTGATCAAAGAATTAGAAACTTAGAGCCCAAGATCCCAGATAAATAGTAATTATTAGCCAAAATAACACTAATAATAATATATAATATTTCCTGAATTCTTACTGTGTGCCAGATACTTTACAAAGCACTTCACATGCAAACTCTTATAATATCTTCATATCAACCCTATTAGCGATATTATTGCCTCCACTTTCAGATTAAAGTAGAGCTTAAGGCTGGGCGCAGTGGCTCCTGTCTGTAATCCCAGCACTTTGGGAGGCCAAGGCAGGTGGATCACCTGAGGTCAGGAGTTCCAGACCAGCCTGGCCAAGATGGTGAAACCCCATCTCTACTAAAAATACAAAAATTCGCCAGACATGGTGGTGGGTGCCGGTAATCCCAGCTACTCAGGAGGCTGAGGCAGAAGAATTGCTTGAACCTGGAAAACGGAGGTTACAGTGACCGGAGATCATGCCACTGCACTCCAGCCTGGGGGACAGAACAAGACTCCGTCTCAAAAAAAAGTAGAGATTAGAGATGTTAAATGTGTCCAGATTCACATAGTTAAGCTTAGAAGTGGCAACATTATCATTTAAAAACCTGTCTCTCTGACAACAAGCCCTTACCCATTTTTAATTACTGCACTTTAAAACAAGGGGTTGGCATTCTTTAGAGAATATGTCTGTATAGAATTCCAATTTTTCATCCTTTTCCTCTCCAACTTACTCAGGAACCAGCTTGAGTTAGAACTAAAACAGGAAAAAGAAAGAAGATTACAAAACGACAGGAGCATCCCAGGAAGGGGTTCCCAGAAGCCAGAATCCAAGATGGTAATATTTGCTATTCCCTTGTTCTTTTACCTAATTTCAGTTTAAATTTTAGAGGCTACCTTGATAGACCTGTCAGTTTTCCTTTACAGATCACATACTTAGTGACTGTGTCCTTAAGTATATGGATAGCAAACCAGTAATTGTGTGAACAGATGAAAGCTTGATTCTGGGTCGGCCTCTAGGATACTTTCTCTAACTTGATTTCATTTGGAAAGGGGGATTTTAATAATCATAGGGACCCTGTTTCCCTTTTAATAATTTTTTAAGTAAGATTATTTTGATGTCTTTTTTTGTTTGTTTGTTTTGTTTTGTTTTGTTTTGTTTTGTGTTTGTTTTTTTGTTTTTTTTTTTTTTTTTTGAGACGGAGTCTCGCTCTGTCGCCCAGGCTGGAGTGCAGTGGCCGGATCTCAGCTCACTGCAAGCTCCGCCTCCCGGGTTTACGCCATTCTCCTGCCTCAGCCTCCCAAGTAGCTGGGACTACAGGCGCCCGCCACCTCGCCCGGCTAGTTTTTTGTACTTTTTAGTAGAGACGGGGTTTCACTGTATTAACCAGGATGGTCTCGATCTCCTGACTCCGTGATCCGCCCGTCTCGGCCTCCCAAAGTGCTGGGATTACAGGCTTGAGCCACCACGCCCGGCCTATTTTGATGTCTTAACAAAAATATATGTTTCTTGGATTTCTGCTAAATAATAATTTTAATAAAATAGTATAATAATCCCTCTCCAACCCTGAAGTCCCCTTTAACAGAATTTTCCACTGGATTTGCTTCTGTATATCTTTTTCAAATCATGAGGATTTCACTTTGAGTATCCTTAAGGAACTTCTCATGGGAATAATTAGAGCGGGAACTAGGCTTGAGGAAGGGAAGGTAATATAGAATAAAGAGCAAAAGTAGAAATTTCCACATAATAATCTTAGAAGGAGAGATCTATACAGTGGTGAAGGAGCTAAAATTGGGTAAAAGCATCTCTGGGGCCCAGGAAATAATGAAATCAGAAAAACATGAAATAACTTTTTATGTGACAGACAAACAGTGAAAAAATTGCCTCCTGTGTATACTTACTATTCAAGGGGACTTCAAAAAGATCTTGGGAAATGGAATTAAAAGGTAAAAATATATAAACTTTATTTCTCAACCTAAGTTCCATCAAGGTCAGGAGACTTTTGTAAGTGATGATACCAGTCATGTAGGCCATCCCTGAAGAACTGAGGCTCCTAGGAATTGAACCATATCAATATAATCTTTTCACATTATTAACTGAAGAAAAATTGGTGCCCTTTAATGATGTTTTAAGATTAGGAAACAGAAATCAGAAGAGCCAACTCGGGACTGTAAAGTGGTTGCCTAATGATTTCCCATCGTAACTCACAGAATTGCCCTTGATTGATGAGAGGAATGAGTTAGGAGCATATTTCTAGTGGGATAGGACTCTCTGTTGAAGCTTTCCTGGGCATTTTTATGCTAAAGCGTTGGCTAACTTTCTCAAAACAGACTCACAAGTATTAGCCGAGTGTGGTGGCATGTGCCTCTAGTCTCTAGTCCCAGCTACTTGGGAGGTTGAGGCACGAGAATCACTTGAACCTGGGAGGTGGAGGTCGCAGTGAGCCAAGATCACACCACTGCACTCCAGCCTGGGTGACAGAGCAAGACTCTGTCTCAAAAAATAAAAAAAAAATTAAAAACACTCTCACAATAAGCAGATGTAGGCATTCTCTGGCCTTCCAGAAAGTCAACAAGCAAAGTGCCTTCAGCATCCCTAAAAACTGTTGCCATGACCTTTGCTCTTGACCTGTCTGCTTTTGCTTTTATTGCACCACTTCCACCTCTTCATAGCCATTGCTTTGATTGTGCTTTGTCTTCAGGATTGTACTATGAAGTTGTTACATCTCCTGTTATAATTTCTCAAACAAATGCTTCAGGTTCTTGATCCCACTTGTTTATAATTCCATTGAAAGCTATACTTTTGTCTGCAGCTGATATGGGCACAACAGTTTTGGCACCCATCAAGTAGAAAGTTTACTCGACTTTAATTTTTCAGCCAGAATTGTATAAGCCGAACCAATTGAGATATCTGTGGTATTGGCTGTTGTTTCTACTGTTAATCGTTGTTCCTCTTTAATTAGAGCATGAATAAGATCCTCACAAATTGATGTGGATAGTCTGCTACTGCAGACTTCATCTTCAACATCATCTGGCCCCTTCTTAAAATGAGTTATCGTTTTGTAAACTGCTGATTTCTTTAGGGCATTGTCCCCAAAAGCTTTTTGTAAAGCATCAGTAATTTCACAATTCTTCCATCCATGCTTCACCATGAATTTGATGTTTGTTCTTGCTTCAATTTTAGCAGAATTCATGTTACTCTGATAGGGGCTCTTCCTTTTTTCTTTTCCTTTCTTATTTTTTTTTTTTAAGACAGAGTCTCACTCTCACCTAGAACAGAGTACAGTAGCACGATCATGCCTCACTGCAGCCTCGATTTCCCAGGCTCAGGTAATACTCCCGCCTCAGCCTCCCGAGCAGCTGGGACTATAGGCACACACCACAACGCTCAGCTAATTTTTGTATTTTTTTGGTAGAGTCGGGGTCTTGCCATGTTGTCTAGGCTGGTCTTGAACTCCTGGGCTCAAGCGATATGCCCACCTCAGCCTCCCAAAGTTCTAGAATGAGAGGCACAAGCCACCATGCCCAGCCAGGGGTTCTTTTCAAACTGATATCTTATCCTTTTTAGTGACTCAAACCAAATCCTGGTCAGATATATTAAAATAAGTTAGTACAAGTTTATTTTGCTGCAAAAAAATTTTTGAAGTCCATGCACAGTTTTTTTGTAATATGCATTTTCCATGAACTTTTTGAATACCTCTAGTATACAACAAAGCAGGAAGAGTTCATAAACTATTTAAAATTTCTAGAGAGTGAGCTGCTAATTTACTGGCAAGTAGAAAACGACGGTATGTGGAAATTTATTAAATAGTATCACTACTAATAATTTAAAGTGTACAAAGAACCACTCTAGGCCAGGCACAGTGGCTCACACCTGTAATCCCAGCACTTTGGGAGGCCGATGTGGGCAGATCACGAGGTCAGGAGTTCAAGACCAGCCTGGCCAACATGGTGAAACCCCGTCTCTACTAAAAATACAAAAATTAGCTAGGCATGGTGGTGGGCTCCTGTAATCCCAGCTACTCGGGAGGCTGAGGCAGGAGAATTAGTTGAACCTGGGAGGCGGAGGGTGCAGTGAGCCAAGACCATGCCATTGCATTCCAGCCTGGGCGACAGAGCGAGACTCCATCTCAAAAATAAATAAATAAATATAATTAAAATAACCACTCTCTGTAGTATGCTATCTTTATTATTTTAATTTAGTGAACATAAAATCTAAAAGGCTTACAAGAGTTTACTTAAAATCTTGACCTATCTCACCCTATTTTTCAAGTGAGGTTTTAAGTTTTTCAATCTCCAGTTGTTACTTGCAGTGGCATTTCCAGGAGGATAAGTATTGACCTCTCTTCCTTGATACTTGAGTGGTGTAAGAACACACATTTCAGCTGGGTGGCTCACACCTGTAATCCTAGCACTTTGGGAGGCCGTTGGCATGAAGATTGCTTGATCCCAGGAGTAAGAGACTAGCCTGGGCAACATAGGGAGACCTCATCTCTAC